TAGTCAAACTGTCAATCAATATTCACCAACTAGGTTAATAATGCAGCACGATCCTCAACAACAACAACTACTATCAAGTAATAACGTTATATCTACTAACATACAACAGCCTATAATACATTTCAGCACAAATCGTCAACACGCCACACATCGATTAATATAACCGAAATGCCTCCATCATTAATGATTAGTCCAACAATTTCTTCAACGCCAATATCAGTCAGTACCAAGAGAGGGCGCAATGACATCAGTGGAATCTCGGAATCGTATACACAAGTGCGACCTCAATATCCCCAAATTATCCACACCTTAAACGCTAAAAATACTCCTATAAAACGTCTTCGTGGTTTGAATCAGCTGATAGTACAGTCATGAGACAATCTGCATGAACCTCCTACCGCTGCATGTCGTTTCGATACTACTCGTTTTCCATTCTCTCCTTTTTCGACTATTTTCTCGCAAGAAGTTCGTGACAAGATTGTTATTGATGATTTAACTAAAAAAGCAAAAGAAAATCTTAATTTCGAATTGAAAATGGTAGCTTATAGACGTGGACATGCAGATAATAACCAATGTCGCTTACTAATCTTCGTCGAGAATTGCGAGTTATTCGTCTTCTTGTATAATCATGAGAACTGGCCAACATCTCTAGCAGGTTCGAAGTATACAACAAAAAGACCATCGATTCCTTCACAACTCGCTCTAAATAAAATATTGGTGCGCAGCTTGATCATGATTCATGAAAACGACAAGAAAAATGAGAGACACGTTGAAAGAAAATAATTAAGATAAGTTTGTCAATTGAGTCAAGTTAGTAATTTTATTTATTCACGAGTTTTGATTACGTGAAGGGTACGATGATTGAAAACAAAAACGGCAGGAAAGTTTTTTATGTTGTGTAGAAAAGCAAAGAAACAACAAGATAAGTAAAATACTTAAAATTGAACAAGGCACGTTCTTAAATACTCGACAGAAAGCAACACTAATCAGAAACCTGCAATGGTTTAGCATTCGTACATAAGGCCAGGTTTTGATACTGACGAATTTATGTAGAATCACGAAGTGTATCTTCAGTTTTTTAAAGCAATCATATGAACGTATCGCTCGATCATACGATTTCATATTCAGTAATGTTGATAGATTGATATATTATTCAGTAGTTACAGTGATCTCAATGGCCTGGGATCGTCATGCATGTATTAAGTCTCAGTATCATTGTGCCAAGTGTTAACACCAAGCAATTCGTCAGTCAATTCCTCGGTTTTTACCGAATTCTTGATCGGTATTAATGAACATCGCAGTAATGACAAGTTATCCTTCTAAATATGTATGTAATTGATGATTCCTAGCTTGTCTGATACAGACAGGTTGATCGATGTGTTTATTGCAACGAATAGGTCCATATGGGACATTCGTTCTATTCGTTGAATGATATTACTGGATCGATTTAGTCAACTATTCATTGTTGTAACACTTAGTAACAATCGATCGAATCTTTTATTTCGGAAAATGCCTCTAACTATGCTAATAATACTAAGCTCTGTAATTCATAATGTAAAATCATGAATCAAGTTTTTATCCGCATTTCGAGTTTTCCCATCATAGACATTGCTCTTTCCAAAAATGATGATATAATTGTTGAATAACCTAGGGATTTGTTTCGATATTGCGTCGTCAGAAAGTATTATGTGGGAATATCAGTCGCTTTTTGTTTTTAAATCGCTTGTTGATTAGGATGGGGAGCTTTCGCGCATTGTTGTGTCAATGGAAGCGAGGTTAATTTTGCATACGAGTGGCGTCTGTTGCAAACTTCTTGAATGAGGCTTGCGATTATTGTAGCTGCGGAAACGTTTTAACGCCTTTGGGAAGATTTTTGATGATAGTGTTTTGGACAAGTTGGTGTGTAGGTGTGGTTGCAAATGAGAGTAAATTGCTTCTCTTTTCGAGCAGAAGTGTTGTCTGCTTCGTGTTTTTGTTGAGAAATGGAAGTGTAAGAATATCATACCGTTGGTTTCAGATTCTGCCGGTGACGCACACAGATAGTCGAATGTATGCGGTAGTGAGAAAGGTGGGGGTTAGCGAGAGGTTTGTGGAAAATATGTGAGATTATTGGAAAGGACCCGCACCCACGCGGAAGTTGAAGAAATGCTTGGACACGATGGAATGCATGAAAGTCAATTGTGGAGGGTTACATATGGGCGTTGCCAATTGTTACGGAATTGCAGTTTTTCATCTTCTCTAATGTATACTTCCGCCGCAGCAGAAGTAAACGTTTTGAAACCTGTAGCAGAGGCCGAAATGGGGAGAATTTCTTGTTCCCCGCCCCGCCTCGCCCCTCCCCGACGTTAAATTTTGTCTTGCTTCCCCGACCCGCGCTGCCCCGACTTTAATCTTTTTTTCTTCGCTGCCTTGTTAGGCTTCTATAGGATTCTTGTATCTTTTGATCATGTGATTTATTCGACTACATATTACAAAAAAGCCACAAGATCACAAGAATACAACTATTAGGCATAGGAGCACAAAAAAGATACAGCTCGAGATTAATCAATCTTTTATTTTGTTATTCTCTATCGAAGAAAGAAATAAGATATTATTAACAGTTGTTGGCTCTGAATTAGATCTGATTTGTTTGACAACTTCACCTGTGCCGAAAACTCTTTTTCTACAGCAGTTGAACTGCATATAGAGGCCTGCAGGTTCCAAAAAATACCCAGAATCTAAACCCGGGGTTCAGTTATGCTTTTGATTAGTAAAAGCAAGAAAGAACGACCCTAAATTCGATTCGTTAAAAGTATCTTTGGAATCGCCGATCTAATAGTAGTATAGGAGACAAGTGATGTAAAAATTTTTCTGTAGAAACTTGTAAGTTGTATGTCACTTTTCGAGATTTGTTAAAGTCTTCATTTTTGAAGTAGCAATTTCTTTACAAGATAAAAACAGCTGAAGAAAAGAATGAGAAAATCAAGGCTCTTAATCAGGTGTATTATATTTTCGCTAATAAAGAATCATATTGAGCTGAAACTTTATGCGAAAGTTAGAAGTGCATAGTAACATGTAAAAAGAAATTTTACTTTATATCTGGCGCTTAGTGGGAGCTAGGACGATTTTAGTATATTTATAATGGCCAGTTTCAGTCTCTCTCGTATCGTTCCATGATGTTTAGTCAAACTAACTGAAACTGTTCATTCTTCTTTTCAATTAACAGAAGACAGTCGAATCTAGTAACGCTCGGAACTCTTTTTTTCCTTCTTTTGCTGGTGGTGAGACATATATTAAATCAAAAAATTATTAATAAACCTGAGAAATTTTTATGAAAAAAGCTGAATTTCGAAAAACTTTTCTTCAAAGGAAAAAAATGTTTTTTCTTTAGCGAATACCCTAAAAAAAATGAGCTTTCAAACAAAAAAAACTGGGCTTATCTCTTACTGTGATAGAATACTACTGGAGACGTGTCACCGAAAAACAGTTGTAAGAAAAGACGACTTTTTTTAGAAGTAAAATCATCGTTAATAGCGAAAACCTCGCTTTTAGGAATGATACGGTTCAAAGTCATTATGTTAATGAAAGAGCACATCAGATTATCGAAACATGCCTGTTCTGCAACAATGATTTATTGACGACACTGAATTCCTTCAAGGGTCTTAATCATACTTTTAGCTATTTCTAACTTCTGTTTCCATCCAATTGCAACCAATACGTATTTTTGCTGTTGGTGAAATCATAGATTGGTCTCTCCGACTTCAGATTATGTGGCATTTAAACAGGTCTCTGGTTATCAGTTAAAATCTTCGGTTTCTACGACTCCGACTCAGTTCTCCGTTCCATTTTTTTACAGAACCGCAGGGCTCTAATTGCATGGTATTGAGTAAATGCAACATGCTAATTTCGATAAATTTGGAAAAAGTTTTTCATGTTCTTACCAAAATGATAATGGACTTAAATAATCATTGTCTTTATCTCCTTTGAAATCGGTATAAATATCAACTTCAACTGTTCTTATTATTGTAGATTTTTTAAAATTACTTCATTATCCATCAATAGTTCGAGAGATTTTAGAGTGTGAGTGAAGAAATGATTTACACGCACTCACACTCTATTGTGCCACTTAAACACGGGGAAACTTCGGGGATTTAACTTAACCCCGCCCCGACAAAAATGGTCCCCGCCTCGGGGCCCCGCCCCGTTTCGGTCTCTGATTCAAAACAGAAAGAAATTACAAATAGTGCATTAATATTTAAAATCATCTAAGATGATTTAAATGTTAATGCACCAATCACGTTGCTTAATGCAACTTAAGTTGATTCATTGTTTGTGTATTCTGTTTGGAACGTTTGAATAATGACATAAGGAATAAATTATAGAAAAAAGAGAAACATTTGTCTATGAACAAATTAGACTACACATCAATGTTACATTTTTTTCGTTCAACGAGGTCAACCGTTTTATTCTCCACTGAGGAAAATGTTGATAAACAAAGAATCAATGTATATAGGCACATATATATATATTGTCTTGAGAAAAGCATTAGAATTACAGTCAAAGATGACTCTAGATAATATTCATCTTTTTGATTTACCTAATGAGATATTGTTTCTCATTTTGAAAAAACTCGACAATATGGATGTTCTTTATTCTTTACTTGGCATTGATAATCTGCGACTGAACGATTTAGTACAAGACAAAGCCTTCACTAGTATTTTGAATTTTGTCTCAATGTCATCCACCAATGATATATGTTCAATATCTGATCGAATACTTGATCGGTTCTGCTTGGATATATTGCCAAAAATTCATTACAATGTAAAATGTCTCATTCTTGATTCGATTTATATGGAAGCAATTCTTCTTGCTGGCAACTATTCTAATCTTAGGGAGATTAAACTTTTCAATTTCAATCAAGAAATTTTCTCACGTTATTTTATAGGTAAGAAATTAATACGCAATGATCTGTTCAAAGATTGACGTGCAAAATATTCAATAGCAAAAATTATATAATATCTATGTTTTGTTTAGACGATTCTCTATTCCGACATATTTCTAAACAAATTACAGATCTTACTCTTATGAGTAATGAAAACAATAGTGGAATAACATTGAAAGACTATACGATGAATATTTATTTAAATATCTTGGCTTTCTTCGAAAATCTCAATCATTTGACTATTGTGTCATCACCCATCAACAATTATCCATCTTTATCACTATATGATTTACCATCGACTAGTTTTTTCTCTTCAATACTTACGAAGTTACGTATTTATGTACTTTCTTTTAATGATTGTCTTGCTTTACTTGATGGTCGTCTCAAACAATTAACTAAATTCACCGTGGAAGTTTGTTATATCAGCGGACTGCCACGGGCGTCTTACAACATGGTAAGTTTATTTTCTATTCTATTATAATTTTTCTAACTAGTGTTCAATATGTCTGATAAAATAAAATTAATTATAAGATTTCGATAAATAATGAGATTTATGCATTAGTAAATAGAATGTTTTTATTTTGATCATTAGAAATAATTAGATTATTATAATTGAAGGTTAGTTAATAATCAACTATGGATTATTTGAAACTATTTAATTAGTTAGTTGTAAAATGAACATTCAATTACTAAATAAGAGAAAAGAAACCATTTTATCGTTTATTTTTTCTCTTAGTCACTTTGCAGTTATTCTAAAATATTTCAAAAAAAAATCAAATGATTGGATTTTAATCAGAAATCAAACAATTTGTTGATGTTGATGAGTACTATATAGGTCGATATTGATTTTCGTCTTGCTTCATATGTGTACTTTTTAACTGAATCAAAGAGAACTTGAGCGAAATTGAAGGGAGTTGTTTTTCCAAATAATCATTTCAGTAAAACAAGTTCTGGTGTTTTAACACATTAACTTTTGTTGTTCGAATGAGTTCGCTTATTTAATCAAATTTTTTAGCTACCAATATACATAATCATTGTAAGAGATATACGTATAGTAAATGTTATCTAAGATTTACAAAATATGTTGAGAAAACTTATCTTGATATGATATTTTATGTATTTTTTTTTGAATTATTCATTAGACCTTATGCATTAGGACTTTCAAAGAAAGTAATTATCTTAAAAATGATTAATAGAGAATGTATACTTCATAGAATTGAAGGAACGCATTTAAGGGAAGATTTAAAAAAAATAACTGATGTCTATCAATGCATGTTTCGCATTGAATTTATATTTGATCTCAATTGCTTAAGATATATTTATAGATATTTCTTTCTATTTTATAGGATGATCTACCTAATTTGAAATCTTTCTCATTAATATGTTACACTAACACTTCTGAATATGACAATCAAGTTCTACGACTTCTTCGCCGTATGTCATATCTCAAAGAGTTAACTCTTTATCTTTGTATCGAAAAGCGACCTACATTCGTCGATGGTACTCATCTTCATAATGAAATTCTTGCTCATATGCCACAACTTCATACATTTAATTTTTATATCAGTATGCAAAATGAGATTAATGATTCAACTATTCGTCTATCTAATAATGATATTCAGCGAACTTTTACAAATGCAAGCTATGGACAACTCGTTTGTACTGTAGACTATTTAGACAATTTCAAGATCATTCGCAAGGTCATTTGCAAGATCTTCTCACTTCCATTTACATTTGATCGTCTCGAAAGGTTATCGAATAATTTTCCGTCTATTCTATTCAATAATGTAACTCATTTGATGTTGTGGGATACGATTGAATTCGAACATGAATTTTTCGTTCGAGTTGCTCGAGCTTTTCCATTACTCAAATATTTAATTGTTAACAATATTCGACCACCATTATGGATATTTCGGAAGCCTCCTCTTGACGATTACTATTCACCAATTGTGGAGTATCCTCATCTTATTTCACTCGATCTCAGTTTTGCGAATAGTTATTATGTTGACCAGTTTCTTAATGAGAAAAAAACAATTCTACCTCGTCTAACGAAATTAAATGTCCCATATAATAAATTGGAAAGTGTGACAGAGAATTTTACAAGAAATGAAACGCGACGCAATTGTGCTCAAGTGAAGCATTTAATTGTCGACAATGCTTCAATAGTTTTTTCGGAAGATGTTTATCGGTATTTTCGTTCATTGTAAATTCAATTTTGTGAAAGATATTATTTCAATAGAAACATAATATTAAGTCTCATTTTCTTTTTTTTGTATTAAAATAGGTAGAAAGAGAAAATAAATTGTTAATCATTGAAAATTCTATTATGTAATAAATATGTACATTGAAAAAATGTTTCTTTTATTTTATTCATTTATATTTCTATGCGAATTTCTATAGTTCAATGATAATTTCTAGTGATAAAGTCTCAATTAAAAGGTATGTGTTCTGTTCTGTCGATATTGCGAAATAACTCGTATTGGCAATGGTAGACTTTTATATAATGAAATCTAACATTGAGATAAACGAGAAGCTATTGAGATTGTAATTTCCTGATCTACTTAGAGTGGCGTTTACTGAATAAATTGAGCAAATGGGATGCTTAGCTTTTTATGATTTTCTACTAAGACAGAGAAAATTAGGAAATAGCATTGATAAGATTTCTAAGCAATATCAGTAATTTTATTGGCAATATTTTTGACGACTTATTAAATGTGTAAATTATGAAAGAGGTCAATACATTTGACTGTGAAACATATGAAATCAATTTGTTCCGCAAGCAGCGTACATCATACGTTCATTGAATGATAAAATATCAAAGTCCCTTCATGTAGGATCTAACCTGCTGAAATCACTTCGCAAAACTTGGAAAAAATATAAGCTTTAATGAGTTTTAAAATAAAAAAGTAAAATTTTGATTTATTATAGCAACCTGCATCATCTCTTGGTAAAACTCTTCTCAAATACAGTTGATAGGTGTCTCGGTATGGCGTATAGATGTGAGACTTGGAATTCATCACGCAACCACTCATACCCAGACCAATCCATGTTTACCCACGCATCCTCTTTTCCTGTAACATTTCTGTTATTCTTCTGTCCATTATTGTTAGCTCTTTGTTCAATGTTCATTCCTTTTTCTCAATTTTATCTATTCAATAAACATGATATTTAGACGTAAATAAACATTTACTACGTTATATTTTAAAGTCAACTCCGATATATATATGTATATATTACGTAGAGAAATACCAAAGCGAAGAGAAAGAAATCTCAAAATAGAAGTATACAATTGTATAATAAAGTTCAAAAATACAGACACAACTAAAGAAAAATCCCAATGACGAGGTCAATATATTACAAATCTAATAATGCAGAGTAAAATTCACCATGGTGAATCGAGTTCTTTTATACTAATTATATTCATATCATTTGCTGCCTTCAATACACTCGTAACTTCAAAATAAAATCCTGGCATTAATAACACTTTGTCTGCAGCAGGATGCGAAGAATGATTTTTGATGGATTTTCCATTTTTCCATTTAATTGTGAATACTGTACGCTCGCCAGATTGATGTAAATAATGTTCTAATACTGATATATCACGACTTGTAGATGATACAACCCAACAGAGATAACGTTGACCTTTAGTATGTTCCTTCCTGAGGTCGATTTCAGTTGCACACCAAACTACTCCTTGAAATGATGGCAATTTCTGCAGTGCTGTCATGAATAATTTCAAATATGGAAACCATGGTTTTATTTTATTATTGTCTTTGGAACGTAGTGCGACATTTAATCTTTTATGAAGAGAAGTTTCTCCCCATTCCATAGTGTAGATCATAATAGAAGCTGACTCATCTTCTGTTAATCCATCTTTAGGCATAGTACAATTTCGTTTAGCTTCAGCTATTTGTCTTGGTAGATCCTCAATAAGATGATTAACTGGTTTTAATGCTTCTTCTAGAGACATGAGTTTTTGTTTTTCATAACCACTCAATGGTGTCTTTACAGTTGGCCGAGTCTTATTATAATTTGCCAATTGTAACCTAAAACACAAAATATATTTCAAGGACTAATAGTCTTTTTATCAATAATTCAACTGAAAGAACTTACATTAGTGATGATTTTTCTTGTTCGATCTCTCTAATCGACTCATTTGACCGAGTGGCAACCGCTTTAACCTGCAACATAAAAACAAAATCCATATTGTCCTTCCAGACATTCTGATCTTCTGTATGAGTCGATTAATTGATATGCAAATATGAAACTCTCTGACAACATCGCAACTGTGTGAAACCAGAGTTTCTAGATTGGTTAGAGAAACGAAATTCGTTGATCGTAGATTTGATTACAAAGCAAAATCTGTATTCCTCTAATGGATAATTATTTCTGTAGTTTTGGTGATTGCATTATTCTCAGCAGGAACAAATTCTTTCTATTTAACAATAGTAGTTATTTTGAAGAAAGATTCTTTTCAGTGTTAAAAAAATCCATATGGTATTAAGTCGTTCACTCTTCTAAAAAAAAGTCTAACGGATGACTCATAAAGAATGAACTTTAGAGTACTTTGCAGAGGTTTGAGTAGCATCTTGGCAGAATCTAATAAACCTTTTCACAAGATGCGCTTGTTAATTTCCTATATAACTGCATTGTATACTTCGATATAAAGTAAAATAAAACATGGCCAAGGACAAAATTTGTCATGTAAATAAGTGACAGAGCAGCAACAAAAATATTTTGAGATTCGTGCGAAAAGAAAAGCTAAGGTTAAGCCAAGGCGACACAGGAAGCAAAAAAATAACCTCCGTTTCGACCTTTGGTCTGAATCTGTGAGAAAGTCAGTCATTCTATCACCTTCATCTATACAGACACTTGCATACACTCACACTCAAGTGATTCTACTGACTTTTGTATAGTTTTTTGCCCATTTTTCATTTGCTTCTTTGTCCATGCAATAGAAAAAAATACTTGTCAGCTGTGGTAAATCATGAATTTGCGAAATAATCTTTCTCCCTAGTTGCCCACTAATAATTCAAATTATACAATCATTTTTCTTCTGATTGATAGACAATGCACATTCGTCGGCTCTGTCAAACGTTTGAAAATCATCTTTGAACAAAGCACATAAGTCTCCTTGTGTTGCTACATTTTGCTTTGACTTGTTAACATTTGAATCAAGCCATAACAAATATAAGACTGACGTAGTTATAGGCATTGGAGCCCATGTATCAACAATACCTCGAGTTGCTAAAAGATTATTCACTTCTTCACAAGAAATAATATACAAATTAGCAGCTGGATTTTATTGCGATTTAACTCGTATACATGTACCAGGTGGTAAAATAGTTTCGCTTTCGTTCGGATAACGTGAATGATTTTTAATTGTCTTTCCATTATAACATTTAATATTGAATAGTGTTCTATGCTTCTTTTTGTCGAGAAATGCATCAGTTACATGTACTTGATCTGAACATGAACTAGCAGCATGCCATATGTGAATGGTACCTGGCCTATATTGATCATTCAGATTAGCAGTAACACCACGCCACATATTATTTTGAATTGATGGTAATTTGTCTAGTGCGGACATAAACAATATATAATAGTCATAAAATGGTACTAATTTTGTGCGATCTTCATCACGTAATGCACCATTAAACTTCGTATAGAACGAAGTTTGAAGTGAGTATAGATATAATGCAGCAAACTGATCTTGAGTAAGATCGTCTTTCGGATTTTTACATTTTTCTAATGAATATGTCACTTTATCTAATAAATCTTCAACTAAGTTTAAATTAAGAATGGGTTCTACACATTCACGTAATGATTGTATTCGTTTTCTTCTAGTAATGGGTATTGGTAATGAAGGTAATGGTTTATCTGGTTCTTCGTTAATGTCAAGAAAACGTTGTCGAACATTAGGAGCACGAACTCTTGAGGCCATTATATATTGGTTCAAATACTCTAGAATGAAAGGTAGTCTGATGTGTATCTTGTGTTTGTGAGGATGTGGTGTGGATGAGTAACGTGAATGTGATGAAGATCAAGAGAACATATACACTAGCATACATCCGCAAACGGGTACACTTTTACTTTAATCAAACTCTCCACTAATTGGTGCAATGTACACACACAACACTGTGGAAGGATGAGAGTGACGTATGATAAGTATGATTAAAGGGAAAATGTATCGGTCTCTATTCCAACTTTGATATTCCAGAGCAAAGATTACTTTAAAAGATTCAATTTTACTTTGACATGTGTTCTGTTTTGACAAGTGGTTGGTTTCTCCTGCGTTGCAGTAAGACAGTCAATAGATGTGAACGTTTGCGGCAGTATTTTTACTTTAATCACACGTATCACACAACGCCTTTATCCTCACGCGATGTTGTGTCAGTAAATTACATAAATAAGTACAGAGTGTAATGACAGTAAAAATGTACCCACAAATACCGTGAGCGTGAGAGACGATGACTGTAATCCGTGAGGTGAAAACTGTTTCTGCCATCAAGCTCTTCGTTTTATTATATATTCCCTCATAAAAGTACTGTACATCCGATAAATTTTATTTTACATACGAGTATGCTTTTCAAAATTCATATCAATACCATATGAATTGCCTCTGTTTGATAGTTTAAGCAAAGTAAAACATGCTGCTAGATGTCGCTTGTGACTTTAGAAAAAAAGCAACTTATCGTATCATTTTATTAAATAATACGATGTCGATAAATATCGATATTCGTATTTACTTGGTCGAATGAAATCGATAGTCATTGAAAAACAAAACAGCGCAGAATTGGGCATCATACTTGAGGGCAGAAATACTACTTCTTAGCTCTTCTGTTCCATAGCCATATTCTCTCATATGTCTCTCTCGGAAAGTCATAACACTGTGACATTCGTTCGCAAAACTTTGTATCATCAACAGTTCGGGCTTGCTTCCAAGCAAATTGTATTTAGTGTTTTTTTTTCTTATAAAATGCTTTCAGAGGAATATGTCTACTAACAACATAGAATCAAAATACTCATACCATTTTCATTATTGACATCATCGGAGGATTGATCAACTGCTTTTGTGTTTGAATTGTGCACAATAAAGTAGTAGCATACTAGGTTTTTCTCTCTATGCGAGAGTGAATGAGCAATTCAAGGTGAAACTTGAACAAGGTAAAAAAATAGAACGAGATGAGTATCAATAATCGACTGAAAGCATTAAACAAACTATTCCGGTTAGTTCATTAATGTAGTGTTATCATCAATATGATCATTTTTACTCTCGGTCATTGTTCATCTATTTATTTGACTTTGGATAATCGTATAGAATGTTAGAAACGTTCTTTTTCATACTTTTATATCTACTAGTGTTCTTCCGAAGAATGTAAATCTTTTATACATAGTTTGATTTTTCATTTTACTGAATAATTAAGAACTTAGTCAGATGATACTTATCTGTCTGTTGTTGTGAGGCAGTCTCTCTTTTGTGTGGAACACAATCAAAAGAAGTGTTAAAGCATCGAGGTAAAAAATGTGGACTCCTGCCCACAGATGTGTCATTGATCTTAGCAAGGACATATCATAAGTGTAACAGACATCCTTTTAGCAACGTCTTTCCTTCGTTAAAGACCGTGACAGATATAATTAGAGAAACTCCACAGACGTTGTTGATATACGATTACAGACCATATATCAATAACGTCTCATTATAATAAATAAACTACCGCCTTATTGAATTTCTGAATGATTAGATAAAAGAATGCTGAAGAAGTGTGTCCTAAAATAGATAGAATAAAATAATCGTCCTATAATTAACTAGAACAATTACATCGTGTTTTACATTGTAAAACCAAAACTAAGTTTTGATTTCAGATTTTTACTCGATTCAAGTTTAGACTAGTTCAAAGTCAGATTTTAAATAAGGCACTAACATATACACTGTTTGTTAGTTTTTGGATTTGTGGATTATTTGTTCCTCACTTTTCTTTTATCTAACAGGTACTCTTTGTTGTTTCTTCTTTTATTCTGTCTAAATAAACTTGACATTCATCTTCTCTTGTTTTTGCTTAAACGAAAAATTACACAAAGATTATGTATATCATGATTAACAAACTAATGATTCAATTAAAAACTGAATTTTGTACTTCTTAAGAGAATCTCATAAGTAAAAGAGAAAAAAGACAAAATTTTAGTTTGTTTTGCATTTTTCTCAAAATCAATCTTTGAAAGTTTTTTCTCTCCAACGATATTTCCAATCAGACTCAAATTGGAGTGTCTATATTTTTGCTTCAAAATGTTTTTCCTACGAAATTCGGAAGTCTTTACAAAATTAGCATCATTGGAAAAAAAACACGAACTCCGATTTCATTCTAGTTGCCATAAAAAATTGTAGCTCGCGAAGAAATGAAATATAGAATTTTGTAAGGAAGAAAAGCTTCCGCTCTGTCATTTTTAATGCACATTCGTTAACAATTTTCATCAAATATAATCGATTGAAATTATATTTTTCTTTTCATTTCGATGATCTTATGAGTGTTCTTCTCAAGGTTAATGCCATTTTCTATCTATGAACAACATGACTTTTTCATCTGAGAATCGATGTTAAATAATTAGAGAGTGATCTTGTATTCATAAGGAAAAAAAATCTTTCTTTTGATAGAGAATGCACTCTCATGACAATTAATAGAATAATCTTCGTAAGTCTTTATCGTTTTTTTCTTACTTCATATATTAGTATTGCTTACATATTATAAGTAATGGTGAATGAGTCTTTGCTGATCTCTCTTCAATTATAAAATATCTCAAGCATTTTTAATTAAAACTTGAATTTCTAGTGAGATATAATTTTCTTAACGTTCTTTCCTTATCATCATTTGTTTTACATTAACCTATGAATTTCGTCAAGTTTCTTCGACTTCATTGAATTATTTTAGTTATCCTTCTGTTTTTGTTTTACTTGAACCATGATAAGTTCGCATTATACATAGTAGTCTTATCATAGTCATTATTTCTTATTATAGAAGATAATTAGAAATATCATTACCAGTATTGGGAAAGGATTTTTCCTTTCTAGAACAGTGAATGAAAATAAAAACCTGGAAAATACAAGCGAATTCACATGAATACTTTTTGTTTTCTAAACAAAAAAAGAAAAATTATTCTAAAATAAGATTTTTATTGCGTATTAATCATAATAATCTATCAAATGATGATTGATATTTTCTAAAAATGAATATTTTCATTCGTATAAAATAACAAAATATTTATGTTTCAGTCATTTTATTTGAATAGATCAATATAAGTGGATTGAGAATGAGCGATAATTTGGCTAATAATCCACAAAGTGTAGGTAAAAATGGATTACGTTGAATAAATGTACTCTGTCCAATAGCATTTAATACTTCGACAAATGTATATGGAGTCCATGTGATAAGATATTGAGCTGCTATCATAGCTGTTATGAGTGCATAACGTCGATCTATTTTTAATCTTTGTAAACGATTTGTTGTTTCTTCTAATCGTGTATCTGGTAAATATCGATTTAAATCAATTTCCAATGATATTCTATCAGTCACATCAGAATTTTTCGATTGACTAAGTGTTTTCGATAATCGTATATATTTTGGACTTTTAGGTGATTTTAATAAATGATGAAGAGTAAAACAAACACGAAGATTTGAATAAACAAGAAGAATTAATGGTATGAAATAATTAAAGAAGATTACAGATATTAAATAAATACGTGAATAAATTGATGGATTTTTCCAATTTAAACTACAATAAAAACCAACACCTTCACGAACATATTCATTTCCAATACCAAAAACAGGTGGAAATGTCCAACTAATAGCTAATAATGCACAACATAATACATTTAAATCACAACGTTGTTCAAATAATCGATTAAGCCAACTTGGTTTATGAAGAATACTTAGATATCGAGAAAAAGATAATAATGCTACCAGATACCTTTAAATAAACAAAAATAATTTCTACTTATTTAATTAATCATAACTTACATATTAAAAAGTCCAGCACAAAAACATACAAAACCATGTATTTTACAAATAATTTCATGCGAAAAATAAGCTTGACAAGTAAAACATTGCATTATAACAAATGGAACAGTAGTAAATATAACTAAAGTTGAACTAAATAACATTCCACTGATTACTGGTGATGCACGATTAATAGTAAAATGTTTTGTTTTAGTAAAATATCGACTAGTTAAATAACGAAAAGTAATAAATAAATTAATACAACAAGCAATAAGTAAAATGAAACCAAGAAAACGATAAAGACTACAATGAATTGTTGTTATTACAATACTATTCAATGATATATTCATTTTGTGCTTCTATAAAAAAAAATTGATGATCATATTGAAGAATATTTGTATTTTTGTGTCGAGAAAAGAGTATGACACTTACGATGAAACAAACATCATTAAATAGAAAGAAAAAAAAATAGAAGGTTTTTTTCTCACATTTCTTTTTCTTCATGTGAATTGAGAAGAACAAGATCATAGAGGAAATAAGAAATTATTTACGCTTCGTTCTCTCAGTTGTTTGACATCTGTTTTGAACAAAATGGTTCTTAATCAAGTCGACCATATCATCTACTAAATTAATTTTTTTTTTCTTCAGTTATATCTTATCAAATGCTTATACTTGAATTTGAAGCATAGTACAGTAAATGAAGTGTATGGTTTCAATAAACTATGTTTATTTATAATTAACATTACAAATTATAGATTATTTTTAATTATGCAAACATGTTCTTTTCACATTTAATTAAAACGTTGAGATTTTTTCGTTATGAAAAAAAGATAAATTTCATTTTTTTTTTTGTTTTTTGGCATTTGTTAAGTAACGATAAGATTGAGAAAATCCTCAGAAAAAAAACATCAATACTACAGACGTAGATAACTACAAATAATGACGAAGTACTCAAAAAAGGTCAATATTAAATGTACTTACAACTAGAAGAAAATATGAAATTTTTCTATATGAAACAAGTCATGTCTCTAATTTTCTACTCGGTATATTAGTGAAATAAGATCTACAATAATTAAATATTTTCCTAACAACAACGCATAAAGTCTTATTATATGCATAATATTTTCATGTAAATATATACTGTGTAAAGATAAACTTTCAGAAACATAAATTGTCTTTTACAATTCTATTGATGTTGTACAACTTGTTGATTAGTAATCATTTTTAATAATAAATTTTATTCAATTAGATGTTTTCGTGATATACATCCTACTTATTGACAAAAAAAAAATTAAATTCATTTGTGTTCTCCAGAGCAGAACTAAAAGTAATACTGAACTAGTGAATATGCTGTTAAATATAGATAATAAATGTAAAACAGTTTATTTTTGTTTATAATAATGCCGATCAAATGAAAAGCATCAGAAAGAATAATAATAGAATTAAAAGATCTATTATCCATTTAAAAAAAAAGACACTTGGGCAGAATTTTTATAACTCTTGATAGAACGATGACAGAGACCTGTAATTTTCACGTTTAATAGAACTAGTCGGGGCACGTTTTACTATGAAACAACCAAGTCTTTAAGCAAAGTTTGTCATAGGGAACCCATGAACAGAAACTTCTCTAGTTCCCCGTTACCTGAATTTAAGTCCAATCGTAACTTCCAAATAGTGGAATAGATAGCCCATATCGAGATCTACAAATCTAGACCAACCCCAGATCTGTATCTTTTACCGATCAAAAGTTATAGCTTTCTTTCGGAAGAGTATCAACTTCCATTTGGATGTAGGTAAAAATTAAAAAAACACTTGACATATCGAGTAATAGATATGCTCAATATCGAGACGTTGTTTATCGAGAATTTGAGAAGTGTTTTCCGCTAGATCTTCTTCAAGATACCTCACATTAGACTAGGATTGGTGATATGAATTTTCGTGAAAAATTGAAGTTAGCTATTTTTCGAAACTTTTTTGAGTTTCTTTTTCATTTGTCGACAGTTGCTTGTAAGGCTAACCAATATTCTTATGATCCTATTTGCATATGAATTTGTGTTCTTTGTGCTTGACTTTCTATGTAAACCATGAGACGTTAAAAGAAAATATCATTCTTTACTCGGAAAACATTGAAGTATTGGGCAACATGATCACTCTTTCGAGAAAGCAAGACAAACTTTTTGTAATGATAAATTAAATAGTACAGTAAAAAATAGATCTTACTTTATATTCTTTCGGTGATGCATTAGCTAAGGCTTGCTCTAATAGCTCTGCCTTTACCGAATCGCCATCAAAATCGATTTCCCGATCTTTTAACCACTCCTGAATGTCCTTTTTCCTCCACGATCGATTCGGTGAAACAGATTCCGGTGTCAAAACGTTGTGCCATGGTGCATTATCTACTACGATTGCAATTTTTGCTTTATCTCCTACAGTAAAAGATGGAAGAGATCAAGACATATGATAAATTCTATGAGTGTTCCTCACTCACCATGAAATATACGCAATTTCATACAAGCACTCGTTAGCCAATTGAGGAATCGATCATTATCCATTGTTTGATTTTCTGAGCAGACAAAAACATCTACCGAATCAAGATGATACCCTTGTGTACTAATTAAGGCAGAAACTGCTAATCGTTTTCCTAAAAGAAAGTTACTCATGAGCAAAATCTTTCGATGAAATCTATTAAACTGACCTCTCCCGTCATTTTGTCGAATACGGCCTTGATCTTCGAGAACCCAAACACTTCGTTTCATCTCTCCCAAATTAATCCACGATTCATCATGGAAATAAATATGAGCATGAGAATTTCTTAGCTCATCCATCGTTCGAAAATAGCGAGCTCTGACAGCTACAAACGCATTGGAGTCGAGTGGGATTTTCAGTCGACTTGTTCGTTGGTAAGTGAACCCAAGCTAAGTTTTAAAAAGACAATTTTTGCATCTCTAAGAAGTCTGGTGAAAACCTAATACTCACTTTTTTCATCTCACGCCACAGTGTGGTGATAGAGAGAGTAGGAAAATCATCGAAATCTTGATAAAGACGAGACAACAATCGTGAGGTTGTAGGATATATTTTTTCCTGCAGGAGTAAATGAAACTGACATCGAATCATATCTTTCGCGTGTTCAGAGAGCATCAACATTGGACGACCAGAGTTATCTGAAGAGAAAATTTATATTTTCATTTATATTAATTCGCACGATAAGACAACGCTTACCCTTCTTTTGAGGAGAATACGGCCGAGGAATAGATGAATGGTTTTTCGCAGCAGCCAAAGAACCGGTATGAGATTGACGTCGATGTAATCGTTTGGGCTTCGAAAACGTTGAACGATCTTGTGATGCGGAGTCCAGTTTTGTTTGACTTCGAAGTTGACGTTTATTTTCGGCTAATTCCCTTTCTTCCTGCTGCTTCCGATTTTGTTCCTCTTCAAGTTCTGTTTGTTGTTGCTGTATCAGCTCGTTCATTTCCTTTTTCAATCTTTTTACTGATGTTTCAGAAATATCTAACATCTTTGCAATTCGTTCAACTACGTTATACAATGGAATTATCGGTCCTGTTTTCTCTTGTTCACAAAATCTTATGACTTTGAAGATTAATAATTTTTCTTGAGCGGTAAATTCATGACCTGTAGGCATGATGAACTAAGTCGTAATAAAAATAATGGTTAAGAACAGAACTATCAAACAGGTTTGTCAACGTGAAACACAGCTGAAAGAACAGACTCAATATTGAGCATATCTATTACTCGATATGTCAAGTGTTTTTTTAATTTTTACCTACATCCAAATGGAAGTTGATACTTTTCCGAAAGAAAGCTATAACTTTTGATCGGTAAAAGATACAGATCTGTGGTTGGTCTAGATTTGTAGATCTCGATATGGGCTATCTATTCCACTATTTGCAAGTTACGATTGGACTTAAATTCAGGTAACGGGGAACTGGACAAGTTTCTGTTCATGGGTTCCCTATGACAAACTTTACTTAAAGACTTGGTTGTTTCATAGTAAAACGTGCCCTGACTAGTTCTATTAAACGTGAAAATTACAGGTCTCTATCATCGTTCTATCAAGAGTTACAAAAATTCTGCCCAAGTGTCTTTTTTTTTGAAATGGATAATAGTTTCTATGGGATGTATCGATGTAGACAAATCATTTCCACTGGCGCCAAATCCGAAATTTGATTTCAATTTCTTAGCACTTTAGCCGATGTGATAGATGGTGGTCATTCATTTTGAGTGTGAATAGTAGTGCATGAAAAGACTATCCCAAGGCCACATGCACACACATTCCTATACCCACAGCCAAAATTATTCAGTCGTTAGCAAAAGAAAAAAGGACTGATTGGAAATTCCAAAACAATAAGAGGAGTGTTTTTTTAGAACTATTCCTCATGCTTAAATATTAGTTTACATTTCATATTCATTCGGTGATCTCATTTTAATTGCTTGACGATAAAAATCTACAAACAATACAATGCTATATAAATGATCCAGATGTAACAGCTTTAGATAAAAGAGTTGAAGAAAAGATTCACCATTCATTGAGACTTTTGAGAGAGCTAATTATGCTTGCTCGAGTCTCACCTACCGTTATGAAACAAATCAATCATCAATAACTAAATCTTGCAAAACTAATGGCAAAAAAATTCAGAAGAAATAAAGAAAGATACTTATTCTGTAATTATTAAAGTGAAAGAATGTTTTCTTAAACTACTATTTGAAGAAGCACTCAGGTCAAGTCAACAATGACAAAAAAAACCGTGAGAAAAATCACTAAAAGTGAAAGATCTGAATCTTCGCGCGAAAGATTGCACCCACATGCTCTGTATATGAACCACCAGGTAACGTCTTATCAATGACTTAATGACAGTTGTATTATTCAATGTAATACAATATTATCAAGACAAGAGCGAACTTTTAGTGAACATTGCAAATGAAAGTTTCTTGAGTCACTCAGCAACATAACCGAGAATCCAGACTTTCAGACACACAACACGATGAGCTATGATGTTTTCAAATTCTGTTGAATCATCATAAGGCAACAAACCACCAGGAAAAAATAGTTCAACAATACAACGACAAAGTTGATCCAGCAAAGCGTGATCAATAAAACCAGAAATTCAGATTCGTACCAAACTGATGATAACATGTTTCAGAAAATACTCAGGTACGTTAACTTTTTTCACAAAAAATTATATCTCTTTAAAATATTTAGAAACATATCAAAATGATTGTCGTACGTAGTTTGGATTTCATTTCTTTTTAATTCATCCTAATCCTCAAGATAGCCTCTGCCCACACCCACACTCTCGAGAATGCAGTTGTTTTTTAATGTTTCTTTTGAAAATAGCAATTAATATAGCATAATACAATTAAAAACACTAAGTTTTCATCTGAAATATGCAAGAGAGACAGATTAACAAAATATTCAGAGATAAAAATGCGAAAAAAAGGCTAAAACTCTTCAGACATGTAAATTTTCGAGTATTGTAGTGCCCTCTATAATGGTTCAAAGATTGAACAAAGATTTCTATAGGCAACTTGATGTGCTCTATAATCGAACAATAGATTCTTGGAATTTGTAAAAAATAGATAATGCTGGATTAACGATACTCTAAAACAAAGGTGTCGCACCAAACTTCAGAAAAGGTTTGATGGAGGTACGAAACCATTTTAGGTTTCGTTGAACAAAAAAGGTTTGGTAGGACCTACCAAATACCAAAGTTTTTGTACCAAACTTGGTTTTACTGTACTCTCTATAAAATTCCGAATAGCGTAAAACTATTTTTTGACTTCAAGGTTTCATCGTCAGATAATTTTCAAAATCATCTTGTCTGTAAAACCATTTTTTTTTCTGGAAACTTTGTTCAATAATTTGGCAAAAAAAAACATTTCAATTTTTGGCAGAATTAGTTAAGGTTAGTGCAAAACTCTGAGAAGTTTTGCGCACATGATAGAACCTTATAATGGTTTCGCATGACGTACAGAACCAAAAAGAAATTCTGCAGACCAAATTGTTTTCAAAATTATCCGACGATAAAACCTTCAAGCCAAACTCTGGTTCTGCATTACTTCGGAATTTTTTAGAGAGGACGATACCTTTAAAGTTTCGTATTTCCACCGTACTTTTTTTTTTAAATATTATAGTACGGCATTCTTTTTTAGAGCGGACACCAAAACATTTTGTTGCTGGCTTGATTACTATATTGAAGATCGGTATCGTTGCTAAAATATTGCAGATAATATTCGTAAATGTCTTTTGAATTAGGATGTCCAATCAGTGTAAAATTTTTCATAATATCATTCTTCATAATACCACATTGAATTAATGATTTAAATGCTTTTAAAGATTTTATACTGGTATGATTGCCAACAATGCCAACACCTTTCAGAAAACAAAAGAACGCGATTTACAATGTCGAAGTGTTAACTAGGGAAACAATAGAACACTTCAACAAGAAAAACCTCTTATGAGTCAGTCCGCGTAAGCCATGACCGACGCTCAAGGAATGTGCTCAATGAAAATTAGCAAATCTTATTTGCTTTAAGATATGTAGTAGAAGTCACAGTTTCATGAATTTTGATGCAAGTCCTTTTCAAAAATATTGAATCTCCAAATTTTTATGACTTTTTCATAGACTGGCTCTTATAACCATACACATTAACATTCATATAAGATCTTAATTATTACACCATAAACAATCTCCTTAGAATAAAAAAAATCTATAATAGGTTTATAAAAATACAACAATCTATAAACGTTTCAGGCGCACATCAAAGTTGTCTATATACTGTTCAAGGGTACATTGACAATTTTGATGCGTGCCTTAAGGATTGGTAGAATGTTGTACTTTCATAAAATCATTGTGCATTGGTTATTTTCTACAGAAATTTTCTTGAGTGTATCACAAGATCGAATTGACAAGAAGTTAATATTCGTTGCTCTAGAAAATTAAAAGAGGAATTCATTCTTACCCAATGATCTTTTATTAAAACTTATACAATGTGCACCAGTAAATTTCCATCCTCTGCCTGTATAAATTTGTTGTTGGTCACCAGTATCATCACACAGGATAAAATTATATCCAATATCATCCCAGTTTTGTGTGTCCATTTGATAATCTTGAACTCCTTTTATTTTATTAATACAATCTTCATGATTCATAATTGAATAAAAACCTGTTAGTTGGTGTGCAACAATTTCTGTAACCGGTAATGTTGTTAAATTTGTACGATCTATATACGGTCGTGCGTTCCAACTAGATCGTTTTAATATTTTGGGACAATCTACAAGAAGTGAACATCAAGTATATCTATTTTGTACTTGTTCACTAGTAAATAGAATTCTTTTGTATTTTTGGTTTTTGCAAAGAATAGTTTATTTTACATTTATCAAGTTTTATTAATTTGTTAACTAAGAAATCAAATTTATATGCTTCATTGAGGTCTATGAAATATAGAATTAGTAGATTTCACTGGACAACTTGAAATCAAAGTCAGTGAGTTTGATTGTCCATAAGACAAGAGAGAATTTTAATTAATATGTTTAAAAGCCAAAATACACATATTTCGATTCAGTTGGAAAGAGTCTTCATATTTTAGCCTCTTAGAACCTTCTCTAACAAGCTCTTTTATTTTCGTTATTCAGAAAGATTCCACAAAAAAGACTACAAATATGGCAACATCTACAGATATGACAACGCCTGTCATAGAAGACGACGGTGATGGTATCTCTCCATTACCACTAGGTAAAACTGAAATAATAAAAGAGCTTGTTAGAGAAGGTTCTAAGAGGCTAAAATATGAAGACTCTTTCCAACTGCATCGAAATGTATGTACTNCCTATTTGCATATGACTTAGTGTTCTTTGTGCTTGGCTTTCTATGTAAACCATGAGACGTTAAAAGAAAATATCATTCTTTACTCTGAAAACATTGAAGTATTGGGCAACTTGATCACTCTTTCAAGAAAGCAAGACAAACATTTTGTAATGATAAATTAGATAGTACAGTAAAAAATAGATCTTACTTTATATTCTTTCGGTGGTGCATTAGCTAAGGCTTACTCTAATAGCTCTGCCTTTACCGAATCATCATCAAAATCGATTTTCCGATCTTTTAACCACTCCTGAATGTCCTTTTTCAGCCACGATCGATTCGGTGAAACAGATTCCGGTGTCAAAACGTTATGCCATGGTGCATTATCTACTACGATTGCAATTTTTACTTTATCTCCTACAGTAAAAGATGGAAGAGATCAAGACATATGATAAGTTCTATAAGTGTTCCTCACTCACCATGAAATATACGCAATTTCATACAAGCACTCGTTAGCCAATTGAGGAATCGATCATTATCCATTGTTTGATTTTCTGAGCAGACAAAAACGTCTACCGAATCAAGATGATACCCTTGTGTACTAATTAAGGCAGAAACTGCTAATCGTTTTCCTAGGAGAAAGTTACTCATGAGCAAAATCTTTCGATGAAATCTATTAAACTGACCTCTCCCGTCATTTTGTCGAATACGGCCTTGATCTTCGAGAACCGAAACACTTGGTTTCATCTCTCCCAAATTAATCCACGATTCGTCATGGAAATAAAAATGAGCATGAGAATTTCTTAGCTCATCCATCGTTCGAAAATAGCGAGCTCTGGCAGGTACAAACGCATTGGAGTCGAGTGGGATTTACAGTCGACTTGTTCGTTGGTAAGTGAACCCAAGCTAAGTTTTAAAAAGATAATTTGTGCATCTCTAAGAAGTCTGGTGAAAACCTAATACTCACTTTTTTCATCTCACGCCACAGTGTGGTGATAGAGAGAGTAGGAAAATCATCGAAATCTTGATGAAGACAAGACAACAATCGTGAGGTTGTAGGATATATTTTTTCCTGCAGGAGTAAATGAAACTGACACCGAGTCATATCTTTCGCGTATTCAGAGAGCATCAACATTGGACGACCAGAGTTATCTGAAGAGAAAATTTATATTTTCTTTTATATTGATTCGCACGATAAGACAGCGCTTACCCTTCTTTTGAGGAGAATACGGCCGAGGAATAGATGAATGGTTTTTCGCAGTAGCCAAAGAACCGGTACGAGATTGACGCCGATGTAATCGTTTGGGCTTCGAAAACGTTGAACGATCTTGTGATGCGGAGTCCAGTTTTGTTTGACTTCGAAGTTGACGTTTATTTTCGGCTAATTTCCTTACTTCCTGTTGCTTCCGTTTTTGTTCCTCTTCAAGTTCTGTTTGTTGTTGCTGTATCAGCTCGTTCATTTCCTTTTTCAATCTTTTTACTGATGTTTCAGAAGTATCTAACATCTTTGCCATTCGTTCAACTACGTTATACAATGGAATTATCGATCCTGTTGTCTCTTGTTCACAAAATCTTATGACTTTGAAGATTAATAATTTTTCTTGAGCGGTAAATTCATGACCTATAGGCATGATGAACAAAGTTGTAATAAAAATAATGGTTAAGAACAGAACTATCAAACAGGTTTGTCAACGTGAAACACAGTTGAAAGAACAGACTCAATATTGAGCATATCTATTACTCGATATCTCAAGTGTTCTTTTAATTTTTACCTACATCCAAATGGAAGTTAATACTCTTCCGAAAGAAAGCTATAACTTTTGATCGGTAAAAGATATAGATCTGGGGTTGGCCTGGATTTGTAGATCTCGAGATGGGCTATCTATTTCACTATTTGGAAGTTACGATCGGACTTAAATTCAGGTAACCGGGAACTGGACAAGTTTCTGTTCATGAGTTCCCTATGACAGACTTTACTTAAAGACTTGGTTTTTTCATAGTAAAACGTGCCCTGACTAGTTCTATTAAACGTGAAAATTACAGGTCTCTATCATCGTTCTATCAAGAGTTATAAAGATTCTGCCCAAGTGTTTTTTTTTTTGAAATGGATAATAGTTGATTTTTTTCATTATATATTCATTTTATTTCAAAACAAGCACGATAAAAATAAACAATCTTTAGTAAGAATAATGACAATGAATCGAAAAGTGAATTGACAAGAAAATGGATAGTGGAATATCGTGTATATGTAAAATATATTGAGATCTATTAGTTCTGTTTGCAATATGTTTTGAACAAAAAGAGAGATATAGACGTTATAAACTATAGTAACAATGACAATTGTTTTATTGTGTTTGTCAAAGAATCTATTATCACAACAAAAACCTCTAAAAATGAATATAACCTCATGAGGAAAAAATATTCGTGCATCATCAAAATTCCACGGTATATTCATCATAGTATACCTTACAACAGCGACCAATAGGTGCCATCATCTATCGCAGGATACGTCGCGATAATCATAGTGCAATGTACTGTGACGTGTACCTACCATTGGCATGCAATTCTTGCATTTTCACGTTGGTTGCAGGTAATATTCACAAAAAACTTGTTTATCGTTTTTCTCAAAACCGAGTTTTTTGCAAAATATCAATCTCTGAATAAATTTTTCTTCACTATAGTTTATTCTATTAAACTACGTTTTTTTTTATTTGATAGATAGATCTATCCTTCTTCAGATGACGCGAAGCAATTTTTTATTTGACTCCCAATCTATGAGCATTCAGGTATTTTATGAAAAATCCTACATAGGGCGTTTTCAGAACTTCAAAGTTTTGTAGATTCCATCAAAGAAAAACAATCAAAATTAAAAAAACTCTTTCCCTCATCTGAAGCACCAAGGAGTTCTCTTTCAAATGAGGCCAGTCCCAGCGCTCTATCTCGAAGTGTATTGAAAAAAATCCTTGTACGCGTGGGACCCCATTTTGCCCCTTGGTACCTGTATATCTCCCGAACGGAAAGGGCTAGAGCGATGAAAATTTTTTACACTTGTACCTTTATGGGTCGAGCATCTGTAGAAACCTTCATGAAGATTCCATGCACGATGTTGAAAATCGATTTTGGAGGGGGGGGGGTGGTGGGTACAAAAATAGGTCACCCTAT